TGTGTGTGTGTGTGTGTGTGTGTGTGTGTGTGTGTGTGTGTGTGTGTTTTGGGCCACTAAAGCAGAAAGAAACAGTTATTTTTCTTGGAAAGCTGACAGAGGTCCAGAGAGACATCATGCCACTGCAGGCAGTTTTCTGCTGGGATTACACGCTGACCTCTTCATGCCAAGATAAATGGTGCTGCGTGCGTCTCTCTGGGTCAATATTTCTGTTGGTAGATACGTCAGGATGCACGACTTCAAGCTAGAACTGAATTTTTTTGTACCTCCTGCCCAACCAGTCTACATGGTTTTTGTGGACTTGGAAAAAAGTGGTGGTCCCCTGAGAGTGGTCCTGCACCAGGGCTGCCTGTTATCACTGATTCTGTTCATGACTTTTCTGGACAGGATTTCTCAGTGTAGCCAGAGGGAGGGAGTCCAGTTCTCAAGACTCCATCTGTGATATTTGTGGCTGGTGGGCTCTGCATCGTGCTGTGATCTCCTGCTCTCATTGGAGCAGTTCACATGAAGCAGCTGSGATGAGGATCAGCACCTCCAAATCTGAGTCCATGGTCCTCTGTCTGAAAACAGTGGAATGCATTCATCGGGTTGGGGTGAGGTTCTGCCTCAAGCCAAGGAGTTCAAGTTTCTCTGGTTTTGTTAGTGAGTGAGTGAAGATAGGAGTGTGAGATTGACAGACAGATTGGTGCTGTGTCTGCAGGATGGCTGAAGGAGCTGAGCTGCAAGAAGAAGCTCTCTGTTGACCGGTCAGTCTATGTTCCTGCCTTATGGTCACAAACTCTAGGTAGTGACTGAAAGAATGAGATCACAGGTACACACGRTCAAATTGCGTTTTCTCCACAGTGTAGCTGGACTCTTCCTTARAGATGGGGTGAGTTCAGTTATCCAGCAGATCAGGGGTTTCAAACTCAGTTTCATCGAGGACCACCTRAGCATTATGGTGACCCTCAAAGGGCCAGTTGTGATCAACTCTGATGTTTCATCTTTAACTTTGACAAACACACAAACATCATGCTAGTCATCTCATACATTGGAGCACAGCTAACAAACAATAACTGAGCTCTATGTGGTATTTTATGCATTTTAATACATGAATACATCTTTGAAGCTTCCCACATAAGCCTTGGTTCCATCAACGGTTTCTATGCGCATTGTGAAGTATCACTTTAGAACAGCTGGATGGAAACAGCAAAATTCGCAAAAACTTCCTCAATTTTGCAAAAGTTTTAACGCTCACTTGARGAGGTTTTTGGATTTTCCGAAACAGAGTTAATGCACAAAAGTGGAGATGGAAACACATTTGCAGAATACGTTCTGATGTAGTGAACATTTACCTCACATGT